TGAGCATACAAATGTGCAACCTCATTGTGGCGAATTCGGAAGTACAATTTCTGTTTGCATGAGAAACTCCTCCTTCGGATCATCCGTACATCAATATTAAATCAACAAACGTGATTATAAGTAGCAATCCTGATTTAACGGTATATTTCCGCATTATAACGGATATTGTCATACAAATTTAATCTTTTTTATGAGATGATTATTTTTTCTGAACCACAGGCCTAGTGCACCGTGAAGCTTAAACGGTAAAAGTGTGTTTGCACAAGAAAATCTTATATTTGCTGTGTTCCGGATAGCAACTATAACACCGTGACTTAGCGCATACACGAGCTGATTATAGTCTTCATTTGCATATTAAAATTCGTATACGAACTTTAGTGTTACCGTGGGGTTTTCCATTTAAAATCCTAATTTATGAACAATTTTTGATGAGATTTACAACGATACTGTTTAAAAGGTTAATGAAACTGTAGAATGCTTGGTTTTTAGGCCGACAGCAAAAATATTTTAACATATTTATTTAATGTAGCTTTAAATACATGTATATTATATATATTTATATATTTTATTTATATATATATTTACATCCGGACAAGCCAAAAGCCAGGGCCCGCTTCCCCGTATTATATTAAATTGGTGACATTAAAAGTCAGTGATTTGTCCGATTCATTGAGACACAAACTTTAAAAACAGTCTTTTTAGTAAAATCCCATTGTATATGGGACAAAAGTAATTCAAAATCATTATTAAATACGCTTTCATGAACCGAATAATATTTACGGCATAACCATTCTTCAACATAATAATCACTGTTGTACAGCGTCCACCGGATATAGCCCCTAAAAACACCAAAAACGAAAGTAGAAAGCTGCACAACGAGTACACCTAAGGTAATGTTTTAACTTATTTCTTCATCATAACTTCATCGATTTTTCCAAACTAAACAATATTGTGAAGCTAAATATGTCTAGTTTTAGAGCAGTGTTTGCTTTTGCCTGCAAATTAAATACTTTTTGTTAAATTGGTGATAAAATGTAGCGTATCTGTTGACATTGGCGAACGATGTTGATATTTACCACTAAATCAAGCACAAAACGCATTTGCTGTATCAAATTCCGCCGTTAATACAAACTATAGTCATCCCTCTACTTATATTTGAGTTTTCACCCTTCAACTCGAGCTGCTTTTAACAAAATTTGCGAAAAACTGCCTTGCCTTGTGTACAGAGTCTAGCACGGATGTGTACGGGGTGTAGTTGGAAAACTGATAGCGATTGTACGGGGTGTAGTAGGTAAACGAATGTCATTTTCTGCAAAATATATTCAGTACCAGAGCATATGTATACACGTGCGCTGATGAAGAAAACGATTTATGTCGGGATCAGGGATTGTGAAGTGAATGATTTTAATTTTATTAAGGATAAAAATGTTAAATTAAATTGTCAACATGTTACGCAACATGTATATTAATTGCAGTAAACAGTTTCCGTCCTGCTATACCACTTTTTATGCGTGACTATAAGTTAATAGGGTAAATGTAAAACTCAAAAGACCACAATTTCATTCCATATTTAGTAGAACATTATGAACAGAAAATTCTATAATTTGTCTTAAACAATTTCAAACCATGTTCGTGTTATGCATTGTGAACTAAACTTGATCTAAACATGTTATATTTGTTTATTATGTCACCGGTCTTAAGACTTCATTGAAAAACAAACATTTGTTAATGAGCTTTGGTAAAATATCCGCTTTGATTAGTTAGGTTAATCATTAGATTTATCTTTGTGGAAATACATGTACTACATTACTGGCTATAAAGTCCTTCATATTTTTTTTGCAGTCAAACTCGGGTGACCTCACTTGTGATTTCGATATTCAGTTTAATAATACAATGCTGCCGCTTATGTGCTGCTGTTTTTTTCTGAAAATGATTATGATGACTCTTCAATGATGATGATGACGATGATGATAATGATGGTATTTTATGTTTTCATTTCAACATTGCCATACCAATGTACAGAGTGTGCAGAGAGATATGAAACATTTAAAGAGTCTATTCGGCATCTTCTAAGCCGACTAAAAGCTTTTATAAGGCGGCTTAAACTGTTTTATAGAAGACAGTGCTAATACCGTTTTGTAGAAAATGACAGTCCTGCATAATCTTTTAATCAATGTTCGACCTCCTACCTTATGTGTAGGTTAGTTATACATGTATATATAAATATATCCCCATTCGGACCATCTCCATTCAGCGAGTTGGTTTAGAAGACTCCTCAACATGTCTTATAAATACCGACAGACACTATTCAGCTGATGGTTGTGATGGTATGACAATAAAAATTAAACGCAGCTATACTGTTAGGCTCAAAAACACTAAAAACATAAATTATTTACCAAATACCTCTGTATCGTCCTCTAACCTATCCATGTTTAGGCTGATATGAGATTATTTCCAATTAAAAATAATTAGAAAGACTATATACTTTATAAATATGTGACTGCTAGACACCGTTCACATCTACTAGACCATGTACATTAAACTACTACACTCCGTTCACTTAAATTTGTTTTCTTTGCTAGACTCTGTACACAAGGCAAGGCAGATTTTTGCGAATTTTGTTAAAAGCAGCTCGATTTGAAGGGTGTAAACTCAAATATAAGTAGAGGGATGACTATAATTTGTGTAAAACGGCGAATTTTGATACAGCAAATGCGTTTTGGGTTTTATTTAGTGGTAAATATCAACATCGTTCGCACATGTCAACAAATACGCTACACTTTTTCGCAAAGTTAACAAAAAGTAGTCAATGTGCAGACAAAAGCAAATATTGCTCTAAAACCAGAATCATTAAGCTTCACAAAATTGTTTAGTTTGGACAAATCGATGAAGTTATGATGAAGAAATAAGTTAAAACATTACCTTGGGTGTACTCGTTGTGCAGCTTTCTACTTTCGTTTTCGGTGTTTTTAGGGGCTATATCCGGTGGACGCTGTACAACAGTGATAATATATACTCTCAGAAGAGAAGACGTTACTGTTGAAGTTTATTTATTTCGGAACCGTTGTAAATATTGTATGGATCGGTGCACTTCAAAAAAGGTAAGTCAAGTGTGCAAGAATAGTATAATAATACTTACGGGACGAAGTCTTTGTATTGAGACGCAAGAGTGTATAGTGTTAGCCCGTTGGTCTCTAAATCATACTTGTGCGGGTTCAAATCCCAGTAGTTCCAATTTTTTTTGATGACATATTGCTTTCAATGTACGGGTATTTCGTGTTTTTTGTCATGCATATAAATTACGTAAACAAATTATAACATCGTGGAAAATATATATAAACAATAAACAAGTAAATAAATAAATAAATTATAAATGAATGGATAAAAATTAAAAAAAAAAAACAACTTTATAAAAGTATTAAGACTGAAAAAAGTATAATCCAACTTGGATTTGAACTTAAGACCTTTCGCATGCAAAACAAGTACACAAACCACTACACTAACGGGCCAGATAATAAAAATATTCGTTAACTGTTTTCCTTGTATTTAATTTTCGTATTTGACCTTTTCCTGCCACCCCTATGTACTTTTGTATTTAGGATTTCCCATTCTCGATCATATTTGAATCGACAATACTTACACTGCACTACAGACCTTGAAAAACCTCAGGGCGTAATACATAATTATTATATGTCCTTGAGTGTCAATAACGTACTATTATAAATTCATAACAGTTGATAATGAGACTAATTACACATGATCATTTGCTCAATCTATTATTTTTCCCGATTATACCAATTATAGATTTATATCGTAAATTCATACATTATTATCATTATTATATTGTAATACTTTGTTTATTGAAAAAACTTTTCCCTAAAGAATTATGGCACGATATTGCATGGACTGTTTCAAAATGAACAATTGATCCCTATCATAACCGAGCACTTGCCTTCAAAACCAATCGGTTTTTCATATACCTTGCGCGGTCGATTAATACACGTTTGACTGTATCGCCGGCATATTCAAGTTCTATGTTTTTGTCAAACATTGCCTGTGCCTAAAAAACGTAGGTCAAGGACTCAGTTAGTTCACAGATTTATATATATGTAATATAAATCCGTTGTTAGTTTGAGACAACAGGCCACTCCCAGGTCGATATTTTTGAATTGTTTAAATCGTTTAGTGTCTATTGAATAAAATTACATCTCAACACATACACTTGTCATACAAAACATTAATAATTTTTGGAATTAATATCGTTAAATGATACTAATTGAGTCGTTACCTACTTCTTGTAGGCGCACGTGCTTTTTACCAGAAAGACGAATTGTTAGATTAACCAATGAACTATGAAATGTATATTAAATCTGGTTATCTAGAGTGAGTTTTGTGAGTTCAACTCTTTGTTTTATGCGGAAGAAACAGGGAATTCGTATAGATATACAAACGGTCTCTAGAAGTTCTTTTTTATGTAACTAGTCGATGGCTAAAGGGACAAAAAAACTATTGCATAGTCAAATGCTAATGTCTGGCGCAGATTTTCAATGACCCTTCCCCCTTTCACTGCCATAGGGACGGCATATGCCGTCCCTATTATTTTCAGCGTATTTGCCATATGAATGGCTTTTGCCGTTTCTATAATAAAAATAATAATAATTATTATAATTATAATAATTATAATAATAATAATAATCATAATAAATACATAGATAATTATACCATCGGCAATGATTATTATAAAACTAGCAGATTTGGAAACATATATAATTATTATAATACTTATAACAAATAGTAATAAATAATAATAATATTAATTTATAATATAGTAATTTCTTAGAAAACCTTCTGGCAAATAGGTGATCAATAAATAAATAACCCTCTGGCACCGAAAGGGTGAAGATAAGTATTGATTTGGTCAAAGTACATGCTTCGATTTTATTCTTGCAATGTCACTTTCGCTACACAGTCGTTAGTAAGCGCTTAACTGGGCTAATTCATATGTTTAAACTCGCTTAACTTGGTTTTAACATTATGATGTTTATAAGGAACTTAATTACACTTATTTTAGTGGTGAGGTTTGCATTTTCAGATAATTTCTCTTCATCATTGAACATTTCTAGTAATGAAGTACCATTTGAAAATTATCCCATTACTGAAGTACCACAGAATGATTCTTTCATTATTAATCTAGACACTATTTTATCACATTTTGCATTTATAGATAATTTCTCTACATCAGGGAACATTTCTAGTAATGAAGTACCATTTGAAAATTATTCCATTACTGAAGAACCGAATGATTCTTTCATTATACACCTAGACACTAATGCATATGGTGATATATCTCAAATTGCACCACTTGATTTTGCATCGGATAGGATTTATGGTGACGTTACAGTGATGAAGGATTTATTTAAAAATATTCTTTATGAGTACGATACAAGAATACGACCTATATGGGACCAATCAGCGCCCATAAATGTTTCAACAAAGTTTGTGCCGATGAGTATACTAGACTTCGACATAGCAAGTCAAACGTTTTCGATCCTTGGCTACTTCCGGGTATGGTGGAGGGACGAGCTTCTGACATGGAATGAAGAACAATACTCGCAAACTAATACCGTTAAGATACCAATTAAGGAGATATGGACCCCACGTTTGATCATATTAAAGGTAAGTATTTAAGCTTTCAAGAAATAATGTCATGAATTAGTTGTTTCATTTTAAATATGAAGAATTATCATTGACATCAGTATGCTGCAAAGGCAATATATTTAATAGTTGACTTGAGCTCCGGTCACGCTGTTATCGTTGAACTAATTTCTTAATAATTGACTAAGATAAGTTATTATAGATGCCCGTACGGCCTCCGTGGATGAGTTATTATGTCGATCACCGTATCTCGACAGGGGTTCTAAAGTTTTGTTATGTCACTCAATCTCGACAGATGTTCTAAAAAATATATCGCCGGAGGTCGACAGTGTTTCTGAAGTTTTAATGCCACCGAATCTCGACAGGGTTTCTTATGGTTTTTATTTCGCCGAATCTCGATAAGGGTTCTGAAGTTTTTCATGTCGCCGAGTCACGACAGCGTTTCTTAAGGTTTTTATGTCGCCGAATCCCGAAAGAGTTTCTGAAGTTTTTTATGTCGCCGAATCACGACAGGGGTTCTAAAGGTTTTAATGTCGCCAAATCTCGATAGGGGTTCGGAAGATTTTTATGTCGCCAAATCACAAAAGGGGTTTTTATCTCGACAGGGGTGCTTAAAATAGTTTATGTGGTCGAATTTCGACAAAGGTTCTGAAGTTTGTATGTTGCCGAATCTCGACATAGGTTCTAAAGTTTTTTTATGTCGCCGATTCTCGGCAGGGGTTCTAAAAAAAATTGTATGTCGCCGAATCTCGACAGGGTTTCTACAGGGTTTAAATATGTCGCCGAATCTTGGCAGAGGTTTTGAAGTTTTATTTGTCACCGAATCTCGACAGAGTTGCTAAAGATGTCGCCGAAATACCTATAGGAGTTTTAGAGATTTTTATGTCGCCGAATTTCGGCAGGGGATCTAAAGGGGTTTTCTTAGTATGTCGCCGAATCTCGAAAGGGTTCCTACAGGGTTTAAATATGTCGCCGAATCTCGTTATAAGTTTTGAAGTTTTATTTGTAACCGAATCACGACAGAGTTGCTAAAGATTTTTATTTCGCCAAATTTCGACAGAGGTTCTAAAGTTTTTATGTCGGGTTAATGGAATTTTGTATCCAGTTGACTTTTGAAACATCGGTGGTTTTACTCTGTTGCCCGCTCGTGCCTTGGAAAATGATGTTCGTATATAGTTTTCTACGGACTCAAGTATTGTTAATATACTGTAATAGAGCTAAAAGTGTTAATGAATACGTAAACAATGTTTTATGCTAATAAAATTGACATGATTTAGTTTTTAAGCCTAAAAGTCTTTCTTGATTGATTCTCTTTAATCATTTTATATTATCTTTAGGCAATAAAGGGCGACGGTGTCGTTGGTAATATGGAAACTGACATAGCAAAGGTTTCATCTAGCGGGGATGTGCAATGGGTACCAGAGGGTTTATATAGGTATGATCATTGTAAAATCTTTCTACAACGTCATTTAATTGTCCTTCATTTTATTATACACATGCTTCAAAATCATTGGTATCATTTTCGATCTTAAGTTTCTGTAATGAAGAAGACAAATTAACAAATAGCCATAATATATCAATCAATTTAGTTTTTGCATTTTCTATCTTTTAAAACACAGCAAAAACTAAATGCGATTTGTAACCGTGCTTTGCCAAATCATATGTACAATCATGTTTTTGAAATTCATGTCGCAGTACATGCACAATCAAGTTCTTGTTTTGTCATGTCGCAGCATATGTAAAATCATGTTCTTGAAATATCATGTCGCAGTATATGTACCATGAAGCTCTTGTATTTTCATATCGCAGTATATGTTAATCATGTTTTTGTATTGTCATGTCGGAGTTTATGATCAATCATGTTTTTGTATTGTCATGTCGCAGTATATGTAAAATAATGTTCTTGTAATATCATGTCGTAGTATATGTACAATCATATACTTGTATTGGCATATCGCAGTATATGTTCAATCATGTTTTTGTATTGTCATGTCGGAGTATATGTTCAATCATGTTCATGTATTGTCATGTCGCAGTATATGTAAAATAATGTTCTTGCAATATCATGTCGTAGTATATGAACAATCATATACTTGTATTGTCATATCGCAGTATATATTCAATCATGTTCTTGTATTGTCATGTCGTAGTATATGTACAATCATGTTCGTGTAGTGTCATGTCTATGTATATGTACAATCATGTTCTTGTATATTCATGTTATCGTGTTCTTGAAATATTATGTCGCAGTATATGTACTATCATGTTTTTGTATTGTCATATCGCAGTGTATATGTTCAATCATGTTCTTGTATTTTCATGTCGCAGTATATGTTAAATAATGTTCTTGTAATATCATGCCAAAGTATATGTATAATCATGTTCTTGTAATATCATGTCACAGTTTATGTACAATCATGTTCTTGTAATGTGGTGTCGCAGTATATGCACAATAATTGTCTTTAATTGTCATATCGAAGTATATGTACAATTATGTTCCTGTATTTTCATGTGGCCGTATATATAAAATCATGTTCTTGTAATATCATGTCAAAGTATATTTACAGTCATGTTCTTGTTTATGTACAATAATGTTATTGTTTTGTCATGTCGCAGTTTATGCACAATTATTTTTTTGTCATGTCATGTCGCAGTATATTTACTATCATGTTCTTGTAGTGTCATGTCGCAGTAAATGCATAATACTGTTCTTGTAATGTCATGTCACAGTCTATGTACAATCATGTTCTTGAGATATCATGTCGCGGTTGTATGTTCATTCATGTTATTGTAATAGCATGTCGCAATATATGTGCACTCATGTTTTTCAGGTCATTTTGCAGTATCCCTTGTTAAGTAAGATCGCATGTGTCACCTCGTAATCTTGTAACAAACCATTTGACACCATCCCGATATTCCAACAGACTCGGGTATTTGTTAAAATCATATCCCCCTTTATAACCCGGTATCTTATAATTTAATAATTTTCTTTTTCACACACAGCGTGGTTTGCGATGTTAACATCCAGTATTATCCGTTCGACAAGCAGGTTTGTACATTGACGTATTATGTGTCGGATGAAACTGAAGCAACCGTTGTTCTTAATCACAACACTGATGTCACATTAGAAGAATTCACGGACAACACGGCCTGGGATGTGAAACAAGTAGAAACAAAGCAAATCACAAAGTATAATATAAGTTTCATAAATATATCTTTCCACGTGCACAGACGTGCAGGATTTATCACTTTCACGCTGATTTTGCCCTTACTTATGTTAGCTTTCCTAAACATTTGTATTTTTCTTGTGCCAATCGGATCTGGGGAGAAGGGAGCATTTTCAATAACTATATTTTTGTCTTACGGAATATTCATCACCGTTGTCAGCAACACATTACCTCCTAACTCTCTTCAAATTTCTTACTTTGTTCTCTTCATTACGGTGCTTTTATTTCTGAGCGTTTTAACAGTGTTTTATACCGTTCTTCAAGCAAAACTGATCGCTGTCTTCGGGGACAAACGCTGTACATGGGCATTTATTATACCGAGTAAAGGTGTAAGGCATGGTAGCGATATACATGACGAGTATGAGGAGATTAAAGATGTAGAAAAATGTGGAAGGAATGAAGTAGAAAACCCGTACACATGGGCGATGGTTTTGCAGCGTATTGACACATTTATATTCATCGTTTTGCTCACAATTGTTACTGTTGTAACATTTTTGTTTCTATTCTTCCTCATGTGAAGTTCAATAGTATGATATACATGTTAACACTTGAGTAGAAAATGAGTGAGTGAGTGAGTGAGTGAGAGTGAGTGAGTGAGTTGGTGAGATGGTGAGTGAGTGAGTGAGTGAGTGAGTGAGTGAGTGAGTGAGTGAGTGAGTGAGTGAGTGAGTGAGAGTTGGTGAGTGAGTGAGTGAGTGAGTGAGTGAGTGAGTGAGTGAGTGAGTGAGTGAGTGAGTGAGTGAGTGAGTGAGTGAGTGAGTGAGTGAGTGAGTGAGTGAGTGAGTGAGTGAGTGAGTGAGTGAGTCTGATAGTCTTTTCATTTGAACAGCTTAAAGCGAATATCAACAAGACAGTCTGAAGGGCGGCTATATCCCCTCAACAGGAATGTTGAAACATGTACCGACAGTTGCACTATGTACACTGTAAGCATATTATGTGATAGTAATGATTATTTGGTGGAATACAAACATTTTCAAGTTATAGCTTAGAACAGTTGACCCGTACTTCATATAATCCCCGTTCTCCCTATATTTACAAATGTACACACATTTTATGGAAATATTTCATTTTTGATATTTTTTATCAAACATGTTTTGGTCAGTCTTTTTCATGTTTATGTCATTTCATGTTTTTGAATAAACATTGTGTTGTAATAAGCCTTTTTAATTTCTATGGTGGTGGTGGTGGTGGTAGTTTTCACTCCGGATCACGACAGTAAGTCACCTTGAATTCATCAGAGCACAGTTCAACCACCACATCGTTCCTTGGCAGGCTGTCAAGCAGTTTACTAGTACTAGTTGCCTTCACTTTCGCAAGGAACTGAAACTTCTGTATATGCCAGAGCAGAGGTACAGTGCGAATTACCGTAGAAAGGATTTCATGATCAATCACAACAAAGTGACCTGCGCCGTCCGGGACTCGAACCCGGGTCGTGCGATTCACAGTCAAACGCTCTAACTATTGTGCTAACCGGACAGCTTTCCGCCATGTTTTATCGGGTTACCTATATATTGAACTGCAATACTATCTTCATAAGTTCGAAACCAGTGTGTAGGCTCATGCGGGGTAAAATATTCTTAAAAGAAAAACATAAGTTTAATATCCTGGAAGGTGTGTATATTTTTTATTTTTATTTATTTATTTATTTATAATGCTTATACTTGTTTCTTGTATGAAAATAGGATCTAGAAACTATGAATGGTGGGAAATCAGATAAAAAAATCGTTTTGAATATGCCCACCGCTTATCTTTTCAATAGGAACACGCCGACGATTATTCTTTAGCCGAAAATTTGCGATTGCTCCGTCGGCAATTATCATCAAGTTACATTAAAAAAGCGGGGCTTAACTACAAATGACACAGCAAATTTACTGATAGGTATAGAAATATATATTTAGTGTCATTTAACTAATATACGTAATTGTAGTCTATAGCGGACACGCCAAGTCCCGTGCCCGCTTCCCCTTAGCTGATGGCAATAAAATTCAGTGATTTGTCCGATACTTTGGAATACAAACTTAAACAATGATTAAACCCAAATTCCTAATATATTGCTTAATACACTTTCATGAACCGGGCAATACCCTTGGCATTATTATTTTCCTCAATATAATAATATATACTCTCTAAAGTAAAAACATTACTTACACTGTACTGCATACAGCATTATGACCTTAAAAATCTCAGGGCATAATACATAATTTATATATGTCAATGAAAAACTATTACTTTACGTTGATAACGCACTATTAATACATAATAGTCGATAATGAGACCAACCACACACGATTATTTGCTCAATCCGTTTTTTGTGTCGATTGTAAATCGACACAAAGGTATAACCACCCATCTACCGGACTATTTCTTATTGCAAACCGAATTTCGTTGACAAAAAAAATAGTTCCGTATGTTCGGTTACAAGTTAGAAAATCCATTCATGCATTGAATATAGAAGGGGTTGTCATACATTTATAATTGTATTAAAGTATTGAAAATTAAAATTACAATTTAGTTTAAATGTGTACTGTACGCAGAAATTATATAAATGCGCGAGTGAATCACGTGATTGGCTTATTCTGGTTCCCGGCATCTAACAAGTATTGCGTAGCGAAAGGGGAAGGAACTCCAGACTAGTGATTGGCTCTTCAACGACGCCATTTTTATTCAAGCAGATTGAAATGCAGTTTCGACTTCGTGATTTGACACAAATATCAGGCTGTTTTGAAGAAATTGTAAGTATCGGATACTCTTACAGCGATTTTGACTAATAAACAAAATAAATTGTCCCAGAATGAGCAAAGCGTGCGAAGCCGTCGTTAATAATTATAAACCAGTCCATGAGCTAAAATTAGCACAACTGGGAAACCCAAGTTATGACCTCGGATTAAATTACGGTCTTGTAAACAATTTCAGAGATTTGTGAGTAGATTATTGATTTGTGCTTCGAATTTGCGGATAATTTTTTGGCAGTTTTACTTCAATTTTCATACGTGCATGCACGCACCTAGTTGTAATTTCATGCGTGATTTTTGTAAATTATACGGAATTCACATTTGTGCGTGAATGGGAACACTGACTATCATTTAGTTTTTTACCATCTGATTCATTTTTATAAAAATATCTAAAAAGGTCTATTTTATGTATGTGATGTATATATATCATGTCTAATCATTTTTTTATTGTAGCTGTTTTATCTTTGTTGATCTTATACTTTATGTTATATACTGCCCCATGCGTGATATTGATATCTCTGTAAAAGGTGTTGAGAAGCTTCTAAAAAACCTCAACCCCCATAAGGCTGCAGGACCCGATCAAATTAGACCCATTGTGCTCAAAAATACCAGTAAAGAATTAGCCCCTATAGTGTCCAAACTTTTCCAAAAATCACTGCAGTCCAGCACTCTACCAGACATCTGGAAAATGGCAAATGTCGCCCCTGTCTTTAAAAAAGGTAGCAAGTCAGACCCAGCCAACTATCGCCCTATCTCTCTTACCTGTATCTTGTGTAAAACCCTGGAACACATTGTCTCCTCCAGTATAACAAAGCACTTTACTAGATCAAACTTGTTCTATGAATTGCAGCATGGTTTCCGAGAAAAAAGGTCATGTCAATCCCAATTATTAATGCTTATAGATGATATCCTACAGTCAGTAAATCAGAGAAGCCAAGTAGACTTAATCCTTCTTGACTTCTCTAAGGCCTTTGATATGGTCAACCATGAAAAACTCCTGTATAAGCTGCATTTCTACGGTATAAGGGGTCAGACTCTTAAATGGATCAAAGGTTTTCTTGATAACAGGTCACAGTCCGTGGTGGTAAATGGCTCCACATCCAGCTCCATACCAGTCTCCTCCGGTGTTCCCCAGGGCTCGGTCCTCGGACCTCTCTTATTTCTTATATACATAAATGACCTTCCTGAATATGTCCAATCCTCTAAGGTCCGCCTATTTGCTGATGACACAGCCATCTATCTATCTCTGACTGTCGCTTCTCATTCTAGCTTACTTCAACATGACTTACACCAACTTGAACAATGGGAAACAAAATGGAACATGCAATTTAATCCATCAAAATGCCAGGTTATCCAAATCACAAAACGAAAAACAGTCATTCCAACAAAATACCTCCTACATAACACCACATTAGAAACAGTTCCATCTGCAAAATACCTGGCATTACAATATCAAATGATTTAACATGGAACAAACACATAAACAACATCACAACAAAGGCGAATCAAACACTTGGTTTTCTACGCCGAAACATCAAGGTTCACTCAGAAAGGTTAAAGTCAACCGCATACAAGACACTTGTCAGACCCCAGCTTGAGTACAGCTCCACGGTCTGGTCCCCCTACACAGGAACTCTCATTGACCAGATAGAGTCAGTCCAGAGAAGGGCTGCTAGGTGGGTCAAACATGACTTTGGCCGTATGTCAAGTGTCACTGACATGTTGACTTCCCTTCAATGGAGGCGCCTTGACCTTCGGCGTATTGACCAACGGTTGGTCATGTTTCACAACCATCCTGCATGACCAGGTGGCTATTCCTTTCCCAAAGTATATCGTCCCTCTTACAAGATCATCTAGAACATCCCATCTCCATGCATTCCAACAAGTCCAAACTAAAACTGATTACTATAAATATTCATTTTCCCAAGAACAATTGTCCACTGGAATGCTTTACCACCTGAAATCATAAACTTGTCTGGCCCCGAGTTCAGTCTGGCTGTAAGCCGGATTGAACATACGTCTCCCTAAAAATACCTTTTCTGTTTTTAACCTGTTTTTAACAATATACTCATTTCCTTTACTTTTATATTCTGTTATTTCAGCTCTTTTACTAACATTCTTGTCAGTTGACGCGCGTCAAGTCTAGGTCCCCAGCAGGGGTTTGACTATATGGAAGATAGATAGATAGACTTATACTTTATGTTATATACAGTCAGTTATAAAAGCTCCTAGAGCTTATGTTGTATTATTGAAAACTTGCCAACTTGAAATAAAACTTATCTTATCTTATCAATGTGTACGAAGAGGTATAAGATAAGTGTCCACTCGGCCCTAAACCAACTCGGTCCGCAACAAAAAAGAAATCACTTTAGATTGTTTAGTTGATGAACATCCAGCGGTAGATCACATATACTAAAAATAATTGAAAAGATCTGTATGTTGTATTATCTTTGTTAAGATGAGATGTTGTGATTAATACAACAGGGTCAGGGACCATCAACCGCGGACACTTTTTGAACATTTTTCTGTACAGGTTTCATAAGTTTTAACCTAGAGACCAAAAAAATTGACAAGGTTCAGCTAGGTTCTTCCCCTAACTAACAAACTTGTTTGTCTGATTGTATTGACACTTATATCTGAGGCTCGACAAGGAGGTATCAAAATTACCTCAATTGTCTACACTACAGCACCATGTGTCCGGACATTTATGTACATGACGTTATTTAATTCAGATAACAGCTTGGGTGTTTTAATTTTTAACATGATAGACAATGATTCAGAAACAAATGCTGAAGTTTTGGAAATTCTATTGTTTACTCTTCAAATGATTATAGATGGTACATGAGGTCAGGCATTGTTTTCTTGACCCCCCAAATTTCAACGTCAACATTCTTGAAATAGCCATTAAAATTATATTACCATTTACGGTGGTTGAAATAAATTTATTTATTTATTTTTAGAATGAAACATGCATTTATTGTTGATAAAAAAAGTGACAACCACTGAACAAAGAAAATACTAAATTAAGCATTTTCAGGGCCGTCCGGGTTTGGTGGTTGTCCGGTTTTGGTGGTCCCCAACCAGTAGCTTAAACATTTATGAACTGTAAATTCTTCCCTCACACACTTTCATCAATAACAATTTCAATTAGAAAAGGTATATAAATTATGACATGAAAACGTAAAACAATGAAAGGTATGAACACATGAAACAAAGATAATTCAACATAGAGCAACAAAACTAGTTCCACTGAGGAATACCGTACCGCCGGTAAGGCCCCCACAGTTACACTTTTAAATGGATTCGTTTCGATTTTCATTCATAAACGGTTATGATATTTTTTACCGTTTATTCGAGATGACCATATTGTCTTACAAATTATCTTAATAATTTCCTGTAATCATGGATTTTATCTATACTTATTGGTTTATCAAAGTAAAAAATGGAGAATGGGTGTTTACAACCTGGACCACATACCATCACCGTGCAATAATTGCTTGTGACATAATTCGTTTTTGTTAAAGTTGATTTTTCTTTGATCTTTTAAATAACGAAATGCGGATACAATGCAGAAAATGTGTGCCGCCTAAATCGTGATGAGCACTGAACATTATTTACTTGTATAGAAAGTAAGTCATCATTTGGCGACTCGAATACATGGTATAGTATAGTGCATAGAAGTACCACCGTTTAAACAGTATCGATTCGGTTCTTAGCAATCATGTAAAAAATTGTAAACGTGGGAGCCTTTACCGCCGGATATTGCTCGATATTACGAGGACTTTCATCCCATTTCAAGACTATGAACAAAGGTAAATTCAAGGTAAACGTTCAATCTGACAACAATAAAATTTCAGATGACAGTGCATTTTGAGAATAAATAAACATGTCAGTTTACCGAGTATTGCTTTGGAGTTGCTCGCCGGTGTCACTAGTATGCTTTTTAATGTAACGAGTATTGGTTATTAATATCAAGTAAATGTGAGAAGTAATCACAGAGTATTTACCACATTTAACCTTAAATATTTCTTATTGTCACAATGTGACTGTATACTTATTGACATATGTGCAGAATATGCAGATTTTGGAGGTACTGTACTGAATAATACATACCCAGCAAACATGCATATATGGGACCTATATGGGCTATATCTAGGCAAGCTAATGGGTATGCCCATATTGGACCTATATGGATCCAATATTGGCAAGTCCATTTGGGTACGCCTATATATTAGACCCATATGGGTACCATAATTCAGCACTTTAAGGAAAAACAATTTTTCTTTTATTTATTTCTTTAGAACTCGTTTACTTTGAGCTATAGTATGACCACCTTGGCATAAATTGCTATTATCCTATATAAAATCGTAGCATTATTTTAAACATTTATACAAGCCATGAGGGACCCATATGGGTCCCATTTGGGCAACCCGATAAATATTAGCATGCCTGAGCAGGTGCGAGAAATTAATTTGTTAAGTTTTTATATTGGTTTTAATTTTTATTATTTAAATATAAAAATGTGTTTTTAAACTATAAATTCAGAAACAATTTATAAAAATCAGTTTTTGATGAAAAAATTTATTTCGAGCATGTGCAGACGTGATTTCCGCTGCCGCTTAAAATCAAATTGTGTATTGAAATGTTAAATTGTAAAATTGTACACGAAAAAAATATTTCTTTTCGATTCTGAGCATTTAACCACGATTTCGTATAACGACTTTTCATATTATATCCTTACATGTTTATTGTGTGTGTAGGTAAGCTGTAAACGCTGTTTAGTTTTTGGTTTTTGCCTTTGTAATGTAATTTCCCAATAGTCGTTTAATTTGCGACATTTTCTAGAATTTACGCCCTGACTCTTAGGCACTTTAGGTGACCTATGCATGTGTATAGTTGTTATTGTTGAATTACTTAACTGTGACGGAGTCGACACTAACATTTTAAAAATATTGTTTCTATCTAGACTAAATTTTAAGAGATCTCTTTTTAAAGGGACACCATCATTTGAAATCCAGTGTCCCCCCCTAGCCTTAGAAGTCCCTTCCATTTTGTACCAACATTTCATTCATAAGCATTTTAAAATATTAAATACAAATACTTATTTTTACAAATTCAAGTATTTTTTCCAAGTACCAACCAAGCCCTCTAGCTGTTGCACAGGCATGAGTATCGGACCTGAGAAGAAAAAATATGACCTGATAGATAATTAAACCTGTGTTCATCGTAAAAAATTGGAAAACCAAAAAAATGTAAATTATGACCCCCTTTAAAAACATACTATAAGTTAAGAGAAGGCTGGAAACTCTAGATTCGAGCCTACGAGCAAGGGATTCACTACCCAGGCCGTTGTGAAAACAATTGTCCAGACAATTAAAAAATCTTTTATCATTATTTCACATTTGTATTAAGCTTCCAAATGAGACCAACTCCAAGTCTCTAGCCCTTCCTGTTCATGAAATAATCCCATCAGGAAACGAGCGCATTCGTGCTAAAAATCCTTGGTAGAAAAAATTGCGGCACAACAATTCGGTACGTAAACATAGACTAATACATGTTTGTCAGCCGTGTACAGGTCATAATCATATTGTCACTTGGTGCAATAACTCACTTAATGTATATGTATTTTTTAACTACTTATTAATGTATTTTCATTTTATTGTCAATAGGCCATCAAAAAGGCTGTATTAATCGGATAGTGACACTGATGAGAATGAGACAGACACCGAGAGTAGGCCATCACAAGTTATTGACAAAGCAACAACGCCAAACAGGCACGAAGCCTGCTTTCACCTCCGCCTTGCTTATCTGCACAGGCATTGCGAGAGGCCAGAAGTGATGTGCAAAGACTGCTTCTCTAATACAAGGTGCTTCTGATACGCCCTCCCGTGGGCAGATTATTGGGCCCAGTAAGTATAAACTTCGGAGCTGTAAATATATTCATTACAGTACATACTTATTAAATGTTCTATCCTCAAAACAAGCCAATAAATGTTGTAACAAGCTGGATTGAGTGACACAGCCAAAAATGGAAAGTTTCACCTTATGACGCCCCTAGTTCAAAAGAAATTAATGATTACTTGTGTTAGTCTTTATCATGATGTGAATTAATGTTCGCCTATTCTTGTCTGACCCCACGACTGTTATCCAAAGTTACTGTCCTTGGAATAGTCAAAAATGTTTATTTTCACCCCATGACATGCCTAGCTCAAAAATATCTTAAGTTTAATTCATGATTTCTTATCATTTTCACATTTTGTGACCTTGCACACTCAACAATCCTTTTGAGATTTTAGTGTTAATTACTGTTAAAGCCAAGGAAAAATTTAAAATACTGGATTTTTTTCATTTGTAATTCACAAAGCTCTAAAAGTATAAAGCCTAGAATTATCAATCCTTTTTAGCTCGACTTTTCTATGAAAAGGGGAGCTATCCTACTCGCCCCGGCGTCGGCGTCGGCGTTAGAGTTAGCGTTGGCGTCACACCTTGGTTAAGTTTTTCGTACCACCCCACTTTATTTCAGAAGTATTACAAGTATGGCTTTGAAACTTACCATACTTGTTCACCATCATAACCTCCATCTACAGACAAGAGTACATAACTCTGTCAAGGTTTTTGACAGAATTATGGCCCTTTTTTGACTTAGAAAGTGTATTGAGCTTGGTTAAGTTTTTTGTACCACCTCACTTTATTTCAAAACCATTGGAGGTATTGCTTTGAAACTGACCATACTTGTTTACCATCACGACCTTCATCAACAGACAAGAGGACATAACTCTGTCAAGGTTTTTGACAGAATTATGCCCCTTTTTGACTTAGAAAATACATTGAATATGGGTAAAATCCACTTATTGCCTTAACCCTTTGAGATATTGCTTTTGAAACTTTTAATGCTATTTTCACATCATTACCCCCATCTGTACGCAAGAGAAGGTAACTCTGTCAAGGATTTGTTTTAAAAATTAAGGCCTTTTATCGACTTAGAATCTTGGTTAAGTTTTTTGTACCACCTCACTTTATTTCAAAACCATTGGAGGTATTGCTTTGAAACTGACCATACTTGTTTACCATCACGACCTTCATCAACAGACAGGAGGACATAACTCTGTCAAGGTTTTTGACAGAATTATGCCCTTTTTTAGAAAATACATTGAATATGGGTAAAATCCACTTATTGCCTTAACCCTTTGAGATATTGCTTTGAAACTTTTAATGCTATTTCACATCATTACCCCCATCTGTACGCAAGAGAAGGTAACTCTGTCAAGGATTTGTTTTAAAAATTAAGGCCTTTTATCGACTTAGAATCTTGGTTAAGTTTTTAGTACCAGTCCACTTTTTGACTGAACTGTTTGAGATATTAATTTGAAAGTTGGAATACTTGTTTACAATCATGATTCCCAAACATGTCCAGGAGAAGGTAATTCTGTCAAAGATTTTATTTGAATTATGGCCCTTAACTGTCAATGTTTTGTATTATAGGCAAGCACTAAAAAAGTCGAGCGCGCTGTCTTACGGACAGCTCTTGTTTGAAGCTGCTGTTACACAGATTCTCTGAGTCTTGGAGACAATGCGGGAGGAGAATCGTGAAATTAAGAGGATGATGTAGCAATTGTTGTCAAGGTCAGCAGCAGATGACCAACCGCTGCAGCTTCCTGAAGATATCTCATTCCCTATTCGTTCTCCTTAGCAGATGGAAACATTCCATGAGCTTCTGGGAGATCAGACAAAGCTGTCATCTGTGGTAAGCATAGTGTTAGTCATGTAATTATTGCACCATTAGTAACTGAAAAAAGTATTCCTCATATCCACTGGCTTAAATGCAAAATAACATAATGGTCTGTGGTTAGCACTTGATGATAATGTATTATCATTCTGCTATACTTATGTAGGAAAATATTGCACAGTGGACAAACACTAGCTACTGCATTACTTTCGGAATTAAAAACTGGCTTGTTTTAATTTTTTGATTCATATTGAAACAGTTATCTTATTATTTAGATATGCTATAATAGCCATGAGCACAAGACATGGGCAGTTGGCCTCGTTTTCAACATTGATTATTAAGACAAGACAGTCAATTCATTAATCAAAATGCTGGCAGCTTTCAAAATACCAGGAAAATGACTAGTACCCACAAAATCCAGGAATTGCGCTGTTATTATAATATCAAAAATTATTCTGTTCATACTGTATAAACTCGTGTTTAAAAAACAACAATGATAATGTGCCCCATTACACTCGGTGGAGGGGACAAACAAAAAGGCACAAGTCACTTAGGCTGTAAATATATGAGGAAAGATCTTTAAATTTGTCAATCCAAACAGTTTTCTTGGCAGATCATGTTTTTGAGGTCCAGTTGACAATTATTTGTCATTTGGTAACTTGCAGCCCATGACAAATGCACATAATATAATTTTGAAACTTAGTAGTGTTAAAATTTACATTGAAAAAAGTTTTTGTTTCGCTTTATTTAAGGTGCGGTTCCTCTCAATGTTTGGTGGGGCTGATGTGCGGGAAACTGTTGACCGCTTGATGAAGGAAATGATATCAAATGAACTGGCGAAAATGTTCAATATGAAGGGACTGAAGGGGAAGCGAAAATTTGGGGGCCTCCAGATTCTGAATGTATTGTTTAGTAAGTGATATTTTATGAAATTTGCAAAGTGGTGTCTTTAAGTAAGGTTTTCAAAATAGAAATATTATCCAAGATCTTGTATTTGTGTCTTTGGGTATCGCTTTAATGAAGGAAAATGCTTGACTAGCTTTTATGGGAATATTTTACATGCTGTGTGGTTTTGATCCCATGCATTGTGTTGTGATGCATAATATAAGCAGAAATCACCTTCCTGTAAAGCAAGTTATTTGCTTACCTTAACATTCTTTACTGATACACCGATAAGATGATCTCAGCTTACAACTGACTGCAGCGATATCACAGACATATTGTTAAAAGCTATGTAAAACCGGGACACAAACATCTATACTTGTTAAAACATACCAGAATTAGTTTATATTCCAATTTTATGCTCAAAATGCTAAAAGGTGACTTATGACCTTTGAATGGTTTCAATACCTACATTTCACTGCATTTCATTTCTTTCTTTAAGGATAAGGATGCTTGTTTTATAGAATGTGTCCAAAGGAACTTGCCGACAAAGACTGCGACGAGGAAGGATATTGAAATAAAGGTTTCAAAGTGGCTGGCTGGGGCGTGGGACCGCGATGGGGGAAGGAAAGCAAGAAACAAAGTGTCCGAGACCTTACCTGAAGCAAATGAAGGAAGTGACTAGACATGTTTTTATTTTTAAAAAATGCAAATCTATAGAGGATATTTGTTTGTTAGTGTGTAAGATGAAATTTTATATCATCAAGTGAGCTGTAAAAACATTATTCTCACGAGTGAGAACACTGTTATTTAAAAGTCCCTCAATGATATAAAATTACATCTTACACAACAAACAATAAAGTGTCTTTTTATTTTATGCTAATGAAATTTCCTCAATATTAACTTTAATAATTATTAAATCTGTTTTCCCCACTGTTAACATCAATTTTAGTTGAATTTAAGTCCAATTATTCATAAATACAGGAGTCTTGGGCTGAACAAAAAGTTTGACAATCAACGTTGAATAGCAATGATTTTATTTATTTTATTAAAAAAATATGAATAATCGCTTGTTTTAATAATAAAAACAACCAATTCTAGAAGAAAAAGTCACACCATCCCACCTTATTTCTGTTACTCAGGCAATTTATGTATGACCTGGCTTTGTGAAATGTAAGTGGCGGCCATTTTTAAAAGTTTTGTATTTTAAGGAAAATTAATTTTGTTTTATTCAGAGGAATATTATTTGGATAGGTTAGTCTTGAAACAGTCCTGAGAATGTCAGAATTGTAAGCAAAAATGATATTAAGGTACCACATGGGGAAAATCTTTAAAAAGTAGTCTCGTCATTGAAAAGTTTGAAATTTGGATCATTTTCACTGTGAAATTATCAAATATAATTTTCACGGATACATCAGTAATACACACAAAAGCATAAAATGAATGACTTTTATTTTACATTTTCGAACCTTTTCTTCATCGGCATATAAGTTATTCCAATGATTGAAAGTCAATAGATATCAAAGTATTTTAAAATGTGATAAGGGTCAGAACTACAGTAAGTGGCTCATTTGTGTGTCTTGTTATACTTTTTGTTGCTAATTTTAATGTTTGAGGTCATCAGCATAGCATGTCTTTCTTGTAAATGAAAAATTCTTTGCCTTCTAGTCAGTTTATTTTGCTGCTATGTAATGTTTGTTGTTGACATTATATGCTGTTTTTCTGTTGTCTATATGCTGTTGTTATTTTTTTTCATTAAACATTGTTGCTATTTAAATCAAGACATTAAATGCTTGGGGAATGTTTTTGATACTGATCAATACAATTATAACATCTTGTCCAAACTTAACACTAACAGGGAACACATATATAGGTATGGTATTAACCTTTTAAATCAAGTTGAAATACTGTACAATGATGCTTCTTGTAATCTTTATTTTTGTTATTGTTGAAACTTTGATAATATCGGATAAATTACTGAAACAACTATTTTTACTGACAATTTTTTAAATGAACTTCTTCACAACAAATTTGATCTTGTTAAATCAGTATTATTTCACATTTTTTAAAGGAATATATCCATAATTAATTACTGTTCTGTGATATATAGGATAATTGTTAATTTCGGTGTAATATCACATTTTATTTATAATTAATTTCACAGAGTGGATACCTAAAGTGTTGTTCACAAAGTGGCGCAGCCATGTTGTTCACAAAGTGGCGCAGCCATGAGTGAAAATAACAACTTTTGGTATTCAGAAGTGAACTTATCATGATATTTACATTGATACAGTATACATGTATGTGTTTACTTTATGTCTAAAACTCCACTAATGTTTGGTTCCTTTCAATAAAAGGTTGAAATATGCGAGAAACTTTTTATCAGGAAGCATCGCAAAGATGAAGTCATTTTATTGACGTTGTTGTCATATTTTTTTTCCGAATTTCAGTATACTTGGTTAACTTTTTTGATATTTATATAGTTATCAAATTCGATAATTTTTTTCACAAAGTGGCTAGTGAGTCAGGATATAATTCAACGTTAACTTCCATAAACCATTGAAAATTGATAAAAGATTAATGAAATTCATATTGAGAATGATATTAGCACATAGAAAACTGATCCAAACAGTAACGTTTCACAAAAGGTTACTATAACTATTGATATTAACAATTGAAATGCATTAAATTGTAAATACTATTGTTATTTCTTGCCTTTATTGTGGTTTTTGTTGATGAAGATATGAGAAATGAAGCTGGTTATTTTTACAAACTGGTACAAACTATTTGTTACTTTTCATCAGCTGCATATTTTTTTTACACGTCTATAAACAGTATTTCTATGTGCCAAGGTTTTGTTATTATATTTGTTACTTTTCATCAGCTGTATATTTTGTTTACACATCTATGAACAGTATTACAACTGTGCCAAGGTTTTGTTTTATTATATTTGTTACATTTCACAAGCTGTATAATATTTTTTTTCTTCAGCACTATCATACCAAAGTGTAATATATGGTTGTAATGAACAACTTTTTATATTTATTCATGTAGATCTATTTCATTTGTCCAATACAAAGATATCTGAAAATTTAAATATCATATAAAACATAGATACTATTTCATTTGAAAATGAAAGTAATTGGTAGATAGAAATTTGTAATGAATTACAATAAATGTATAATACTTTCCTATGAATTATGTAGAAATTTAAAAAGACATGGGAGTAGGTTTGCAGTTGTGTCTTTGAGAATCTGTATATATATGATACACTCTTACCATAATTGAGATTACTAAATAAAGTTAACATTGTTAAAGCATATACATTGTGTGTTGTTTTCTTGCAAGATAATAAAGGCTTTGTGCCATAATCTGTCTGTTCCAGTTAAAACATCACTTGAATATTTAATGCAAGTACAAGAATTATGCCAGTTGCAACTTAACGTCCAGCAAACTTATAATTGAAGTACTTGAAAATAGATCTATCCCGGAATTCAAAATCTACCCATAATGGAAGTATCTGGGCTGCCCATTTGAAACCCATATTTAGTACAAGGGCTGCCCATATGGGGCCCATATTGAGTACATGGGCCGCCCAGGTGGGGCCATGTGATCCCATATGGAGTATAAGGGCTGCCCAAGTCTCAGATTTTGATAAGATTAAAATACAGGGCAGCATTGCTGCAAATGCAATAAAAAGGTTATGATACAGGGCAAGTGTTCATTAAGACAATACCGGTATACTTGAACGGCATTAACTTTGGGCCAATATTTTAATAAGTGTGCCAATATCTTTCTTAAGGCACACTTTTGCTGTAAAAACCTATAATTTATGTCATCTAGATCTGTTTTTCTTCTTTTTAGAGATAGGTCTAATAGAACTAAAATATTTGAATAAATATCAAACTGTACATTATCTGCAACGAAAATAAATGGCGTAATCAATAAACAGACTCAGGCTGTGAAAGGTTATATATTTCACAACACAATCGACACTCCAGTACTTTCAGTGCTTTGATTGTATTTTCTGATCGCAAGATCAGTAAATACAAAGCTAACATCCACGGTCTAACACAGACCTAACAGCGCAAAGTAGTTCTCACTCAAAACTGCTTAAAAACCAGCAATTTAAAAGAAAGACCTGTAATGTAGACATTTAACGAATTACAGTGCATTAAAAGTTTAGATTAGTCAATAGAAATATGAGGTTACAATCACAAATTTCGCGGATGAATATCTTTTTTACCCAATGAATAATGTTCGACTATTTCCGTTAAGCTTAATCAATGAAAATGCTATTTTTAGCGATGTCGATTACCGAATACTCCAGAACGTAGTACACAAATAAGTCTGACTGTCGAGTAGTGGAATATATACATGTCGGACTGTTTTAGCGAGAAGATTTTCGCTAAATTATTTTCATCAGTGTTTAAACAACATGTTCATCGTAAACAAAATACTTCGAAATTAATAAGGATTACAAACAAGAAATGGAAATTCTCAATTAAGAATTACAATGTAATTGTTTTTATTCTGGCTACCTACGTATTACTTCACCGTGGTGCAGGGGTAGCGCGCTCGTTTAGGGTGTGAGAGGCCTAAGGTTCAAATCCTAGTCGAGGCAACATTTTTTTAGTGTCTTTTTTAAGGAAGTGGCCACGATATGCAAGGATAAAGTGTGGCTGTCATAAAAGAATGAAAAATGATTTTTTGATGCAACTCTAGGCATGCAAAATTCCATATGTATCAATCTCAAACTGTTATAGAAAAAAATCTAAACGCAGTCGCTGCGTAAGATGAATTATAGTATATAAAAATAAACTTATACAGGAAAGATCAGAAAATGCCACAGAGCATGCAGCCCTTTGATTTTCCTTAATGACCATTCTTATGCAAAATGACACAGACATGAAAAGTGTTTCAAAGCTTTTAAATCAAATCTGACTTTGAATTGCTAAAGAATCCAATCATGTAATCATATATTTATTCGTTTTAAGTGGATATTTTGGAACTCTTTTAAAACA